GGCTGCGCCAATGCTGTGGTAAAGAAACAAGCACTGAATTCTCTACTCATTTCTCTGTATGAGCTTAGAAAGGCAACTGCAGAACGCAGATTTAAGGTATAAGGTTGTAACAACCGCAAATTTTGCTAGTATTGAAATAGGCAAGCGACACAATTAAAGTGGAAATGTCTAAATCTTATTGATCTCTTAAAGATTTGTAATGTAAACGCTCTCAAAGTTAACTCTGAAAAATTTGTAGTCTAAGCGTAGGCTAATGATCATAAATTTCTGCATATATAGATATATAGATATATATAGATCTGCCATATCCATAGTTTACCTTCTCTGTATGGTCACGTACCACTGGTTCGTTTTTAACATTTTTTTTCTTCCGGCATTACTTTTCTCTTCAGTGGTCAGTTTTCTTTTCAGCTTAATCTACTAGTTAAACCTTTTCTAAGAGCACCCAAAAAGATTTAAAACTAATGTTTTAGATTAATTTTTTTTTTGAAAATGTTAGACGGAGTGCCCGGTGGCTGCAAAGCCAATGTTAGTGTAGACAGTAATTTACACAATTTTATGACTACTTCTTGTAAAAAAAGAAGAAAAAAACAAATTGCAATTTCACAACAGTGAGAAGTGAAAAGAAGGGGATTTATCCACGTCTACAAAAATTTAGCTACGTATCATTCATAAAGGATGGGAGGTAGATGCTTGTTTTTCCCTTCCCCTTTTTTCTTTTCTGCTAAGCATTTTTTATTTCGCCTTTTTTTCTATATTTTTTTGTTTACAGAAACCAAAACCATAGAAAACTAAAGTCGAAACACACAGAAAGGACTGGAAATTTAACTCAAAGCGTTTCTATTTTAATGAATTTTTCAGCATTCAGAATTTTCTACATCTTTTATGCGAAGACAGTATTTTATTGGGGTTTGTATATTCTAGATCATGGCAACTCTTACTAGAAGAATCTCTTCTATTTCTAACACATCGTCGCAGTCAGGCAAAGGTCAATCTACTCATGTTCTTCTTGAAACACCGCAGGCAGACGGATGTAGTCGATTGACAATGAATGAAATAACAGAAATTGTTAATCCTTCAAATCGTCGTTTAAAAAAAGGTGATACATGCACTCTTTTTAATAGTGCACGTGGTGATAAAAGATCTTTAATTCGATTTATCGGCGATGAAGACAGCTGTCAATATCAATATGAAATATTAGTTGATTTAGATGCAGGTAAGTTCAGTGTAAAGAAGAGGCTTATCGTTTTACTACACATTAATGTTTGTCTTTCTATAGAAATGCAGGAAAATAATAATCTGGCTGAATTGATAGTGATTTAATTAAAAAATTTGAAACAGCAAGGTCAGACATTGTCAGCACGTGCTATTGTGCGTCAATTGTTTCCAATAAATGTTAGGCAAGTGATGTCTCGGGGTGATTTCAATGATCCACGCCGAGGATTTATTCATGGTAAGTGTCAATGAAAATCGAAGTTTGGCCTAGATAAAATTTGACTAATCTATATTTATCTTTACAGAATTTTTGAAATTGGTCCATCCAACAGAAGATTATGATAAATATCGTGTTAATGAAGCAATTAATGGCGTATTTCGTTCTACACGACATTCAACAGCATTGAAAGTTGCTGCGGAAAAAGAGGATGCCACACCGGAAGTTGAATAAGAAAAGCATAAGGACCTGAAATTACTTTGTGTTTCTAGTGTAGTTAGTGGGTTTATTTCTGGTTTTTAACAACAAAAACATCTTAGTTTGAACGGTAATTTTAGTCGTAAAATATAATAAAATAAAGCTGAATGCACACTACTGTCGAACTTGTTTTTGAAAAAAAGGAATTTTGAGAGATTTTCTGTAAAGTTTTCGTTCATTCTTCATCTAATTAAAACATGGTTTTGTTTTTGAATTCCAGATATTAGAAGATGTGGAGTAGGTGGACTGTACGACGGAAAAAAATCAGACTGATTACGGCGTTATTTAAAGACAAAAGTAAGGATTTTCTATCAAAACTCTTCATCCTATTCAAGCTCCTCAGCATTTCATTTTTAACCATTTACCAACCACTCCGTATTTGTTTTAGGTTTACTGTCAGATTACGAAGATAACGATGAGGTCGAAGCACAGCAAGATAATCAGTAAGTCAAGTCTTTTCCTTTTAAATGTGCTGACAAGAATTTGAATTTTTTACTTCTTAGTGCATCAGAAACGACGGCGACATCGAATGGATTAGAGAATCAAGACTTTTATCAAGATAATATCGCTTGTTCTCACTCAAATGTGATGGAAACAAGAGAATTGAATATGAATGATATGGAAAACGAGACTACATTAGCTCGAGACAGGTGACGTTACCAGTGTTTTCTTTTCTAAGGTCAAAAACAATAGAAAGCACCTTTTTTTTCTTCAGAATCAATAACGCCAGAAGTTTTTCTTCCAAGAAGACGCTGTCCCAGCTGGATATAGCTACTGCTTTAATCATCATCAGATCTCGACATAAACTATCGAAAAAAGGTGTAAATCAGATTTGTTTATTATTACGACTGTTAAACGTTAATCACGCTCCTAAAAGTTATTGGGCAGCAAAACCGATCGTCGAAGCAAGATCTATTTCAAATCTTTTAGTCCAAAAACGTTTCGTCTGTCCGAATTGTGCCAACTCTTCATTGTCCGATAGTAAATGCACGTTGAAATTCTGCTTGCTCAGTCAAAGCTTTGTATGTCGAGAAACCTCTTTCCTATTTTTGAAATTTCCAATACAACAGCAAATTACTGAAATTCTTTTAACTGAAAAGAATATTATGTTGCCAACGTCTACAGTGAGAGACTATGTTTTTGAGAACCATTCCACTGAAAATATTAAAGATATCACTGACGGCCACGTGTACAAACAAATTTTAATGAGTGAAACAGATCCACTTTGTATTTTTACAAAAGTTATTTATTACATATTTTATTCTATTTGACTATCTAAATTGCGTTCTTCTGCAAATGGAACACGTGCAACTCAATTTGTAAGTGATCAACTTTCATGACAATTTTAC